GTCATACTGATGTGTTGCTGCTGGTCGCAAGTAATGATGCTAGGAGTATCCAACGTGTCTCCGTTCATAGGCAATATCTACTGGTAGTTTCGAAACCTACTTACTACGAATATGAGTAGTGAGGTCCGTTATAATAGCAAATACAAGTCTGCTTGATCGAGGCTCCCACAACAACATCTCTTAAATTCACGTCTGCTCCGTGACCCAGGAGCTTTCAGGGCAGTGTGGCGTAGCGGTAACATGCCGGGATTATCTGCTGCATTGCCTGTATTCGAGTCCCGCCGGGGATGCTGATATGATCAAGGCGAGGCCGAAACTGCAATCTGTCCAGCTGATATGAAAATAACAGTTGGAAAGCAAGGCTATGTGCCACTCACTAGAAACGTGAGGCCTATGTACTTATATGAGTATGAGAAACTTGAACTAATACCTTATGCTGCCTAGGGTCAATAAAGATACTATTCAGGAATTGATGGATTTTTGAGATAATAGTGGCGGTAGAACGAAGAATCTGAGCATTAAACAAATCCGATTTCCCTCTATTGGTATAGTATATTCCATTCCTCTCTCCTGATTCCTTCTTAAGAGCCATTAATATTAGGGATGTATTGTGCCGACTCTATTTTCCTTCTCCAGTCATCTCATGATAATCGGGTTTCTTCTATCCTCAAAAATGTAAAAATAGCTCTGGGCGCCTTGCTTTGATATTATTTACAGGCCATTACTGGTCCATTGTTAAAGAAAGGACACTGAACTCAGATGATACTTTCTGCCAGCTCATGATCACAAGTTGGCCAAACGACTGATGTGCTGTCCCTCCTGGAGATCAGAGCCGATTGCAAGAAGGGCTTACTTTCAGGAGAAGAGTCTCAAAGACCTCAGACTAACTACCCATTTTACACACAATCAAATCGTCTTGCTCCACCCAACGTTCAGGAAGAACACCAAGTGACTGTCAGCTCAATTCCCTGGATCGCCATGCGTATACACATCTGAATTGAACATGCAGGGATTTACCGGGATCAGCGGAAGGTGTGGTCATGCTTACAACGACGATGGCGAGTGGAGGACAGTGGAGGTAACGTATGAAGCCATCGTTGCATGAAACGAGAACGGGAGGATTAAGACGCTTCTCGGAGACCATCTTCTCGGACCACAAGTAAAGGATGGGAAGGAAATAATGTGGGAGACCTCAAGGATCCGACCTCGAACTTCGTAGGCTTAGCCAGCTGTACTATCAAGACAATTTGTCTTATCTAAACTAATTTTTCCTTCCTCAATTCTGCTTGGCCTTGTGATTGCCCATAATACGTCTGAGTTCCTTCATAGCCGGAAACCTTTTGCGAGTTAACTATTAATTCCACTTCAGACTAAGAGAATGGCAATAAATTCGACGCGACAGTCTCAGATTATGCTTAGAGTTTTATATGAAAATGTATAAAATTGAACAGGTCTACCGTCTTTCGCAACTTTTCGTATTGCTTGGCCTGCTTTGATGAACGTACCTTTTTCGGAGTCTTTATCCATAGTTATCATGCTAACTTACCGAATCAAACCTTGAATAGGTACATCTTCAAAAGTCTCACCAACATTGTCTATGAACCTTGTCAGACTTAATGCTAAGCTATGAACCGTAAAAGAGACAAGCGAAATTAAGCCCTGAACATATTCGTATGAAATAAGTTCCGAAATTATCAGAAAATCTTAAATAAATGTTCCATTTAGCTTA